TTAGTACTTAGTACTTAGTAGTTAGTAGTTAGTAGTTAGTTAGTAGTTAGTAGTTAGTAGTTAGTAGTTAGTAGTAGTTAGTCTTAGTTATTAGTAGTTTTCAGTAGTTAGTAGTAGTTAGTAGTATTTAGTAGTAGTAGTAGTAGTAGTAGCAGCTGCTTCCAGCTACTGACAGTAGTGCCCTTCGGTGGTGACATCTGGAGCTTTCAACCCTGCCCCCGAAAAGTCGACACCGGCGAGAAAGAAGCAAAACCCTGCGAGGTCCTCGCGAGGTCCTCATGGAAACTCGTGGGATGGAAACTCATGGAGAAGCCATGAGCCAAGTCCGCATGAAGAGTGGCTTGGATCTGTTTTGTTTGATTTCCCTAGGGCTCCAATCGGCTCCAAGTAGCTTCTCAGAAGGTGTTTGGGGTGGGTTCAGAGGGTCCAGATACCGAACCTGAGGAGGTACGACAGGAGCCCAAACGGGTTTGTGATGATTCGTCCCAAACTGAGTGAATCCCCTCCTGGGGATATGTGCTTCCCCCGGTTCCCTAGGCAAGCCGATGGTGGTTTTTTCTACTTGTAAGCAATGACATGGAGCACATCATTCCGTGTATAAGGTGATGTGTGTGTGTGTACATGTGTGTCCATGTTTGTGTTTTTGATTGTTTGGGTTGGTATGGGTTAGTTGTGTGAGAGTGCAGCCATGTGAAAAGCCTAGAAACATGAAACTATTTTCTACAAACAACCAGTGGTTGACTAGGGCCATAACATTGGTTAGTTTCGAGTGCCATATGGCTGTTATTGAGTCTCCATTTTATCAAAAAGGGTCTCATGTTGCTGGAATAGATACAGACAATGCGGTTAAAGATGCTAGTTCCATGGAAAGCGGACCAGAGTGGGTAGAATTGACGTCGGATTCCATCCTGAATCGGGGCGGACCACTACCGTAGCAAGTTCAAAGAGTATACTTTGATTGACCGGCTGAAATAAAGGAAATGCATGAATCATACAATACAAACCCCTCCACGACGCATTGAACGATACATGATGGAACTGTGGGAGATGAGTTTTGTTCCTCAGAACTGTTGGACATTCCAAATATGTTCTGTTTGATCTATGCTGCACATTCCTAAGCTATGCGATTGTTCACCTCAAAATTTATGTGTGTTATTTCTTTTGCTGATGTGCGCAACCACTTTTATTTAGGCTTTACTATTTATGTAGTCTACGGCATAAATGCCGGAACCGCACATGTGATGTTTTTGTGATCTGAACCGGTATGATTGCCAGACGGACAGGGGGTGATGTTTTTTTATTTTTTTTGGGAGAATGGATCCAAGATTGTACAAGCCAGGAAAAGTGGATGACCTGCAAACCTTTTTGGGGATTGGTTTTGCCACTAAACGGTTAACCTTTAATGTTTTCCACGGAAAGTGAGGAAGTGGGTTGAAGGTTTTCCGCTGATCACTGATTTGTGCGGATGGACATGATTGTCTAGGGATGTCTCATGTCTCGGAGGGCATGTTCAGTTTCAATGGTGTTGAAGCTTATTGCCGGAACTAGAGATGTGTGATCGTTCCTTTTTTGTCAATTTGTTGTTTAGAAAGACTATTTTCCACCACTTGCAGAACCTGAGCGACCTCTATCTTGGACCTGTTTGGGACAAGCATACACGACTGGAAGCGTCATGGCCCTTCTCGCCGCGGGTTTCCCACCGGCCCAGTCGGTGGCGGCAAGCGTCCTGGGACAGTGGCTGGCAGACCCACGACATGGCCTGGAAGGTGGAGAACGATTGGAGAAGCCAAGAGGACGGGTCAAGTCAACGAGGCTCGCGTCGCGAGCGTCGCGCGAGTCGTTTCGCGCGAGTTGATCAGTTTCGGGCAGCACCACACCTGGTTGGGGTTGAAATATCGTTGTGTCATGTAGACGATTGATTGAAACATGCCAGACATTGCCAGACATATTTGCTCGGCGTTGTTTGTTTCTCTAAACTTTGCCTGAGATTAACGTGTGTGACATGTCTCCTGTCTCCACGAGACATGTTTGACCCAAACACGGCTGATTGGCAACCGCATATGTTTACCGACATTTTGGGGTGGTTTCAGAGGTCAGGGTGCCCATAACATGTATGCCTATATTATATATATATACACTGGTCCTTCTAACGTGACCAAACTTGATCCCCTAGTTTGAAGTCACCATGCGGCCTGGAAACGGTCACTGGATGGGATCTCCCAACAGGCCACGACTGGACGAAGGCTGGCATACTAAGCTGTGTATATAATTGAATGCTACGAAGTAGCGATGCCCTAATTCCCAGACACTCCATGGGACTGCCATATATGCCGATCAGTTGGGGTGGTGGTTTGGGGGGTCAATGTAGGCATATATTCCAGTCCCATGGAGTGTCTGGGAATTAGCTACTAGCTTCTTGCTACTAGTAATGCACTTGTTACTAGTAGCGATGCCCTTGTTACTAGTAGGGAACAATGTATACCAAGGCCTCCCATGGGCCCCCTAATTGGTGTCTAGTAGCCCCTTAGATTGTTCATGGGTGTCAAGAAAAACACCCCTCTCTCTGAGGGGGTCCTGGCAAAAATGGATACACATCATGTATGTATTTCGCACATGGAGTGTTTGGCTTATTGAGGTTAGACCCGGCCAAGCCACCGAACTGTGGATCAAAGGTCCCGACCAATGGATCGCACCAACAGTTCGTTTGGGCTACTCCCGATCGTGTTCGCGCAACGTGAAAGAAGGGCCAAAACGGAAGGTGTCCAGGTACCACGACCCCCCAAGGTGTCCAGGTATTTATACCACGGCCGGTGTCTAACAATAGCCTCCTTAGAATCCCCTAGAGGTGATTCGGGATGTCCATGAACCACCCCTCTCTGGGGGCCATGGTAATGGTTCTTATAGTGTCCAAACAGAGGTTGCTTGTCATCTTGGATCCTCCGAACCTCGGGGATTGTATCAACATCAAGAGCCTCTTTTTTCCTTCGGTGGCCGTCCCAACATCCACTCTGTCCGAGCGTGGTTGGGGGCAAAACACGACCTTTGCGACCTTGGCCCGTTCTCGAGGAGACCAACCACACCTGGACGCCGTAGAAGAGCGGCGACGCCGCAGTCCGCCGCAGCTCCGCTCCGTCCGGCGTTCTTCGTCGTCGCCGCGACGGGAGCCGCGCTTCCCGTGACCGCCTGGAATTGCTCGGCAAGCAGATGTGGCTTGGAGAAGGGTTCTGCAGCAAGAACTCGGACTTCGCAGAGATGTGGTGAGAAGATGTGAGACGCGCGCGGGTCAGACACGACTGAGACGGAAGAGACCCGGACTTCACTTCTCTTCAAATCGGAGTGGGAGTGTTCTAGTTCCATGTGAGTCGGAGTGTGAAGTTATTGTGCTTTTGTTCTTGGGATCTGAAAAAAGTGTGTAACTTGGTGTTCCTTTCGTCGTGCGGCCCATTGCTGTTTTATACATGTTTTTACTTGGCCCAAGAGATGATTGCAGGAGTGCGAGAACCAGACTGCACCACGGAGAGTGCCCCGCTAGGTGATTCCCAGTGGTTGGAACATGATGAATGAAAAAGCACGTCGACATACTGTCTAGGAACGTGACTTTGCAACCATTTGTGTATATATCATCCCATACACTGGAACATATGCCTACATTGACCCCCCCAAACCACCCCAATGTTGGCATATATGGCAGTCCCATGGAGTGTATGGGTATATGTAAAACCATGGTCTACGTGACGAGTGGTTTGTATAGTTTTATAGAGATCAATTGCCTAACGTACTGGCGCAGCTGGTGGGCGGAAGTTTGGTCTTGCCGGTCATGCGGCAGGTGGCAGGAGGCCATTAAATAGATAAAAACCTGCGCCGGTCTTCGATCCCCCAAAAAAGGATACTCGCCATGCTTGCCCCGTTTATGTTTCGAACTGTTACCCAGACACTCCATGGGACTGCCATATATGCTTACATTGGGGTGGTGCCAGGGGGGTTAATATAGGCATATATGGCTACATGGAGTGGTTTAAAAAACGAAAACCAGCAGGTCGGGAAGAGCCTCCAACGGCCTGCTGCGCCCCAGAAGCTCGTTTTCACCGCTCCGAACCACCGGTTTCATCGACCTGGACCTAGGTCGCCCGTCCGTGCACGGCCGACCCGAGAGCTTGGCCGACGGACAGCTCGGTCTGGCGGAAGCCCGCGGAGCGTCGCAGCCTGGGGCGATCGGAGCTTGGACCGAGGGGCGAAAGAAGAATGAGCAGCAGCTACATTCAGTCCTTTTGCATCCGTTTTCTACTTCTTTTTGGCCGTTTGGCGAAAAAGATAACCATCTTTCTGGCTAGACTGCCCTGCACACTTCCCAATGGCGATTTGGCTAGACTGCCGCTGTGGTTTTGCAAGAGTTGTTTGGGGTCGGGTCGATGTGTCTTGCAGGCCAACTGTAGAACAGATCGAGGAATTTAAAGAGTTTGAAGGTTGGAACTGCCATTTGTTTCCTTCCTACCAATCTTACCGACCTGTTATCAGATGGTGAGAAGCAGATGAAAGGTGATACTAATCTGTGTATTACCCATACACACCATGTATGGAATATATGCCTACAATTATGCCTACATTGACCCCCCAAACCACCCCAATGTAGGCATCTATGGCAGTCCCATGGAGTGTATGGGTTATACAATAGGGAGGCTTCCCAGGCGCCCCGACCCCCTGGTTGCCCTGGGAGATCGCCCCGACCGGAAACCAAACCCCCTTCAGGCAGGGTGCCACAGACGACTGATCCCGGACCCCAACTGCTTCCTGAGGTTCGGTGGTTGGGGTTGGGTGCCAGCAGGGGTCTAACCACCGAACCGGACCGTTGGAGCCTCTTCAGGGTTCCAGGGCGGATCCTCCGGTTGGTTCGTGATCGGTCGCCCGTCTGATCGGTCGTCGGTTCCATCGGTCAGGCAACATCTCCCAGCAGGTGAAGGGGCAAGAGGAGGCACTGGGCCTTCGTCTCATCATTGGTGCCTTTGGAGACAGGGGAGTTCGTCGGAACGGGAATGGGGGGAGGTCGGAACGGGAGGAGGATCATCTAGATCACGCGGTGGAGGTTCTTTTTTTTGAGGACTGCCAGGTGCGAGGGAGGTAGGAGGGTAGGAACAGGACCTGGGAGTGGGGGCAAGAGTCAATCAGATTCATGGTTTTTGGCGCCTGTTCTGGTGTGCTGAACCTTCGGGTGCCTGTGCTTTTTCACTGATTGAGGATGTAGTCGTTTCATCAAATCTCTTGAGAGTTTCAAGATCAGGTCCAGACCCCTCATGAAGAATGACCCTTCTGGCTGCTAGTTCAGCCCGCACCGGCACGGCGGACCATGGTCCTCAGCCTCAAACCTCTCCATATATTGATTACATTGTGGGAAAGAAGTCTCAGCCAGAACCACATCCGAGCATATCCGTGTATGGAATAGTTACATTGATTTGAATCGTTGTTCCAATATGACAGACAAGATACAATCAGAGTTAAATAGTGCGTGAGGACTGGTTTGGGTGTCCAAGATCATGCTATCAATTTATACATCTATCAGGTCTCCAACCAAAACCTTGCAGGTGAACATGATGTACTTGAGTTTTACCGTGTACAGCAACCCTCCTGTAGAGACATAGTTCATGCTCAACTATACTTTTGGCTCAAGTGATGAAAAAGGCCGCCGCCATTGCCCGCCTCGGTCACGGCGCCTTTCGGTTGTTTGAGTTCTGGTTGTTGTTTGTGTTGGGGTTCCGGTTCACCGGTTCAAGTGGTTATCAGCCGTATCGGCTTTTGATTGTTTTCCTGTTCTTGTTACAACACAACAGCATCCTTTCATTAGCGTGGTTGCGGGGTCCACTATTTGCTCAGCCAACAAGCTGAAAAGGAACGACAGCACAACGCACTTCGCAGAGCCAAGTTGATCAGGGATGCCCAGACAAACAATGACTTGGAGCTCGTGAGGGACCTCCAGGATGAAAGCATCACCTCTGTGGCAGACATCAGGCAGATGGTGAAGAACAGGCACGACCAATACTGGCACACGATGAATGAACTGAAGCAGCGCAGCACTGGCTCCAGCAGCATGCTCGGCCTCACGTTCGCTGAGCAGAAGCGTCTGACCCGCTTCCAAGAGTGGGAAGCGCGCGAACGCTCTCTGCGAGCCGGCCTTGCCGACTCAGACTGCTCGACTCACGACACGAACACAAGAAACTGTCCGTATCTGCTACTGGTTCTTTTGCCCATTGCTGCCGCCAAGTTTGAGTTGGAATACAGTGCGGCAGAAGACAAAACAATGTCGTCTGCAGACGCACGGGCATTGATCCAGTATTTCGTTGTCAACGCCTCTGGAGCCAACGTCGGGCAGGTTCAGGCCCTTAAGCTCAACGGCGTTCAGATGGCCCAGGCCTTTGGGAGGATGTGTTCGCATGGGCTGTTTGTCTCAAGAGAAGGGCTGTACACAGCACCTTCAGTGGTGACGAGCCTGCGCGTGCAGCGTGCCTTCGTTGAGCTGCTGGGGATGAAATCTTCCTTTTGCTACATCACGGGCGACCTTCCTGTGGCATTGAAGGGGGTTGGTGACCTTTGGAAGCATGAAGAGAAGGTGGCAGAGCAAGTGGCAGATGCGCATTTGGACGAAAGCGCTAAGGAACACTTAGTGAGTGGATCCATTCTATACGCCCTCCTCCTTGGAAAGAGGTCGTGGTTTTCAAGGGCTGAAGGCCAAAAGGGGAATGCGCCCAACATCCTGCAGCAGGGGGGATCTGGTACTTTGGATTTTGGGAGCTGAGTCGTGGTGGCAAGAAGCATGCGTCACAAGGGAACAGCAGTTCTTTAGCTGCATGGCACAAGTGGTCAATGGCTGATCACATCTGTCGTTTGGTGGACGGCCTACTGCCTGTGGCCATGGTGCCAAGGTTCTTGCCGAGCAGAGGCTCTGTTTACGGTGGAACGGCCTTTTGCATGGTGTTGACCCTTCGAACCGCACAGTCGAGGCTGCGTAGTTTTGCTGGAAAGCAGAGGGAGCCTTTACTTTTTATTTGGCTATTGTGCATGCAGAGTGGCAGTTTGGTTACTTCGCGCGGAAAGCTGGCTTTGACTAGTTTTCGGGCTTTGAAAGCATGAAGATGGCTTCCACGAGGCCCTGGAAGAAGACTTCTGCTTGGAATAGTGTGAGTAGAATGAGCTTGATGTGCCGGAAACTTGTGGTTGAGGACTTCATTGCTGTTGAACGAGCATCGGAAGTGGCCTGGCCTGATGAACAGATGAGCAGGTTGATTGCTGCTCAGCCTCAATTACCCTTTTCGTTACGCCACCCAATCAAATCCAATCTTGGATTTGTGATGGGTGCGATTTGTTTTTGTCCTTTGGCCTTTGTGTCAGTACCTTGGGACTTTGCGGCCCGCAGCTTGCCGGAAGTGGTATGGCTGCTTTTGGCCTGTCTTTTAGTTTTGCCACAAGGAATGCGCAACTTTCATATTCAGGGTTGTGCCTGGCCTTGTTCAACCTGATCTTGCCCAGTACAGTACCTGGGACCGATTGGGCTTAATTAGAGATGCACGGCAGCCACAGACAGACGTCTTAGGCCTATGCGAAAGAAAGGTTGCGGGGCCCACAGAAAACCCGTGCATGTCACGTCGACCGCGGACGCCTTCCCGATCGCCTCCGCGTCGACCGTGGCGGCCTCCTGAGCCGCCAGGCCCGCCGCCTAATCCTCAGCGGCGAGGCATTCGAGCAGGCGCGGGACGCATACATTGCCCATCAGGGAGGCGATCCGTCAGTTGTTCCTGTCGTTCACGTTGGCGGTCACAGCAGGCCACTTGGGACTTCTAGGTATTGGGAGCCGAGTGCAAGTGAGGCGGATTCGGATGAGGAGACTGACGAAGTTGAGTTTGTTGCATTTACAGCAGCCATTGATTTGACTTCGTTGCAGGCAGAGCATCTTGTGCCGCGTTCAAGACTTTGGAGTCCATCAGGTTGGAATCCATCAGGCACTGCATCGTCCAGCTCCTCAGGACCGTCGGCAAAGCCGAATAATCCGAGTCGAGCGACTTCGAGTGTCGTTGATACGCCTGCCGGCAATCGGCCTTACGACATCCTCAAGTGTTATACCACCCGGCGCCTGGAGTCGTTCTTCACCCGTGGTCGCGAGTTGACATTGTTTACAGAGAGGCCTTGACATTTC